TCACTTTGTGTTCTGTCGGGCTACAGAGCCAAGCAGCGTCATATTGTGTTCTCGTGGACCACATCAAACTGCCATCACTTTGTGTTCTGTCGGGCTACAGAGCCAAGCAGCGTCATATTGTGTTCTCGTGGACCACATCAAACTGTCATCACTTTGTGTTCTCTCTGTCTACAGAGACAAGCGGCGTCACGTTGTGTTCTGGTAAGCCATATCAAACTGTCATCACTTTGTGCTCTGTCGGGCTACAGAGCCAAGCAGCGTCATATTGTGTTCTCGTGGACCATATCAAACTGTCATCACTTTGTGCTCTGTCGGGCTACAGAGCCAAGCGGCGTCACGTTGTGTTCATTGGATCGCAGATCCAAGTAGAATAATGTGTTTTGGTAGACTGCAAGGCCAAATACCATACAGTACTGTGTTCTGTAAGCATACGAGCCAAGTATCATCCCGTGTGCTCTTTGGACTAGTGAGACAAATAGTGTTTCATTGTGTTCTGTTGGTTCAAACAGCCAAGTACCGTCATGTCAGATTCTGTTGGGCCACAGAGTCAAGTACTGTCACATTACATTTTATTGGCACATCATTACGATCTGATTTCCGAACAATCCTTGGTTCTAAGTCTTTTTAGAATGCAGTCTTGTTATTAACGAATTTAGGATGAGTGTAGGACTACTACACTTACCTGCCCATTGTTGTCTTCGAGTTTTTAGCGAAACGAGGGATTCCCGTGTTATCCCATCCTCCTTACTCCCTTGATTTACCGCCGGCTGACTTTCTTTTATTTCCTAAATTAAAAATTGCGATAAAAGGAGCGAGATTCGAGGCTACTTCATCGATCCAGCAGACTGTGACGAGAAAACTGAAGGCGTTACAGGAAGAAGTGTTTTCTAGGGCATTCGATCAGTTGTATGAGCCTTGCAAACGTTGGTAGGGGACTATATTGAGTGATGATATTAATGAATATTTTATATCTTTTTTGAATAGTTTTTTATGTCCTCAATTCATGGAACTTAATCGTCACACTATGTATTTCATCATTATCACAAAGAAATAAGGTGTTGTGTCTCAGAATTACGTACAGTTGTCGGATTGTCATGAAAGCGGCAATGAATCATCCGTTCCATAGAAGGCAGAGAATTTTTTGAACAGCTTGGCTACAAGCAGCTGAAGGGAGTTAAGTACCTTTGGTACATTGGCAACCACTCATCTGAAAATAGAAATGGAACCAATTCCAAATCATCACGCGTATTATAACTCAGACAGTGGGCAATTTTAAACATAATATTAGCGTACCAACATGATAGACTTTAGCTAACGTGACATAACAGTTCTCAAGAGATGCATACGTTATGCTTCTATAACTGGCTGCACGCCACTGTTCTCACTGTCACATAATTTACGTATTTAGAAGAGAGCATGTCTGAAGACATGCATACGTTATGTTTCTATAACTGACTGCACGCCACTGTTCTCACTGTCACATAATTTACGTATTTAGAAGAGAGCATGTCTGAAGACATGCATACGTTATGTTTCTATAACTGACTGCACGCCACTGTTCTCACTGTCACATAATTTACGTATTTAGAAGAGAGCATGTCTGAAGACATGCATACGTTATGTTTCTATAACTGACTGCACGCCACTGTTCTCACTGTCACATTATTTACGTATTTAGAAAAGAGCATGTCTGAAGACATGCATACGTTATGATTCTATAACTGGCTGCACGCCACTGTTCTCACTGTCAGATTATTTACGTATTTAGAAGAGAGCATGTCTCTTACCATGCTATTATGAACAGTGCATACGTCAGTGTAGGATGACGTTGATAGAGGTCTCTAGTGAGTTCAACGAGATAGACGAGAAAGCTTGACATACCCAGTGTGACCAGAGGCTTTGTACTGAGTGAAGCAGGTAAGTCTACCTATCAGTAGATACTGTAGGGTTCTGACAATGGTGTATAACACACAGATACACTGGGTTTTCGGTCTTTGTCCATCGTCCGGATTCTAAATAACTAAGAAAAAAACAAAACGTTTCGGAAACTTGATTTCTTTCCGTCCTCAGGTGAGGGAAGACACCTACTCTGTTGGGTCCCTTAGAAAGAGCTAACCTCAATCACAGGGCCAGGTCCTCATGTGAGAGGGAGGCACCTACTCTGTTGGGTCCCTTAGAAAGAGCTAGCCTCAATCACTGGACCACTGATTGTGGCACCTGTAAACATTTGTTCACCTGGGATTAGACTCCGACACGTTCTGTTCTTTCGATGTACAAAGTCCAAAAAGTTAGTAATCTCATTGAAGAATAGCTAGTTGCTACTCGTGTATTATCTTCAGTATTAAAAGGTAAACTTGACCTTGTGCTTAGCTAATTAAGCACTACATCATGAATGCGTATGGGGGAGTGAACGTTTAAATCCACGTTTTCTTCACCTGGGTATTAGTTGGAGGTGAGTGGTCAGCTTCTCGCACCGGTCGCTTTACACGCGGGAAAGAGCCCCCGGTACTCATTTGATAGGAGGCTTGGTGGGCCCCAAGAGCCGATCTGGACGACTACGAGAAGAGAAAATTCTTGACCCTATTGGGACTCGAACTCCAACCCCTCAGTCATCCAGCCCGTAGCCAGTCGCTATACCTACTACGCTACCCCGGCCCGTACATTTGAAGGTACTCTCCTGAAATGTGCGTGTACATATTAAAGAATGAAACATGTAAATAAGTCAACTCATTAGCATATGAGCACTAGAAGCTAAGAATTGATCAGAATTTCCTTATAATGAGAAATCCTCTTTACTGTAAGATCGCAGTTATGTCTTGAGAAATGTAATACGAAACATTCATGATAGCCCTTATTTGCCATTCCCTGTTTTGCGCAATTTCTCTTAGTTATTACGTGACGTGCTAGTCATTAGGTGTGCTTAGTTGCTTAGGTGGAAGTTTGGTTCCAGATGTGAATCATAGTTTCTTTCTTTCTTTCTTTCTTTCTTTCTTTCTTTCTTTCTTTCTTTCTTTCTTTCTTTCTTTTTTTCCTTGACACTACAGCCCCAGTGGGCCTAGGCCTGCCTCCATGAACTCCGTTCACTTCGGTTTTTCTAGATCTTACACATTCGGTAGGACTCCTTGGGCGAGTGATCAGCTCATCGCAAGGCCTCTACCTATACACAGACACAGAAAAACGCACACAAACATCCATATCCTGAGTGGGATTCGATCCCACGATCCCGGCTTCCAAGCGAGCGAAGACAGTGCATGCCTTAGACCGCTCGGCTACCGTGACCGGTAATTCCTAGTTTAGCCTGTTTAAATCTCTGTACTCTGTTTGCTGCACTGTCTTATGTTGTCCACCATGAAAATAATTCCTTTTGTTTTTTTTTCTTTCCAGCAAGAATTTTTAGTGTTAACGTTTTCATAGATTCTTATTTCGAAGTCATTCTCTTTACGATGAATATCTGACGAGATTCCCGTGTACGTAGATCACTCTTGCAGTGATGACAGCCTATCTTACAAAGTTAGCTGACGTTATGTGTTGTACGTTTTCTGAATGGCTGCACTGTATTATTCCGGGTAATACAGCAAACTGAATGATTAGTAATATATAGTTTACATTGTACATTTGTATTAATAACAGTTAATTTTTAAGAATGTGTTTCGTTTGTGTTGTTAAGGATTATGAACTTTATTTTCACTCCCTTTAATTTCAGAATAATTTTACCCACGACCTGATGTAGTCGATTTGCTACGGCGCATCTCCCTCCGCGCAGACGTCGCTGGTAGAGAGACGCTTCCATTCAAACGGGAGCAGCAAGTGGATGCGGATCGCCGTGGAACGTCGCCAGTAGCTGTCAGAACTGGACGCGCATCGGGTGCTCGGGAAGGCGTCACTATTAGAATTAAAATCAATTTCCGTCTCTCGTGCGAAAGTATCGGTACCCGAAATGGTATTGGAGATTTTTATAAGGCGAGGAATTACATATAATAAATTTATTTTTCTCGCTCAACGAAATATATAAACTGTGAAATATATATTTATGATTCTTTGTATGGCATTTGTTTTGAATTATTTTCGTATGTGAAACCCAGAAATTTATGTGACATTTTTTTTTCTAAGTACAGTTTCATGCCATGAAAGCTTTATACAAATAATTTACATAAATATGGACAAAGTTATTTCACACAGTTTTACTTTTATTCGATATTAACGTAAAGGAAAATCTTCCTACCAAAATATTTTTAAAGGATCACCGTTCATGAAGGCATAAAGAATAATACTTTATAAATAAGGACTTTAATTCGGCGGATATTATAAACTAACCATGAAGATGGAAGACAGGAAACAATTTGCTTCCTTTAAAGTAATTAATGGAAACTCAGCTGGGTTTCATATGCTATAGAAAACTGTCTCTGTTTTTAACGTGAGTGTGGCGTACTGCGGACTGTTTCTGATACAAAAATAGAACAGATTTTGTGGTGTTTCGGAGAGTGTTTTTGCAGTGCCTCGGCAAGTGTGTGAATGACGGCGCGGACATCGTAATGCAATAACGAAGCCGCCGAAAGCAAACGCTACTTGCTTCTGAACGCCTGAAGGAGATCTAAGCGGGAAAACTAATAGAGTGTTTCAGAGTGCGAACTGATGTGTATGGCTTTAATTTGTTACGGGTGCTGTTATAGTATGAATTGACAGCGCATGAATTTAATCTCATATTTGCATTTTTCTGAGACTTGGATATTAATTTATCTTGAAAAGTTGTGTTAATTATTTTAATTATAATTTAAAATTTATATCATATAATTATATTATTTTCAGTTTTTGAGTTTTTAACTCTTGTTGCATAATTTTGGTTCGAAGAGAAAGTGAGAAGTGATGGCTTTTAGTACTGTTTAAAAAAGATTAAACAAAATCAAGAAGCAAACGCCTGACTCAGTACAACCCTTTATGAAACGTCATTGAACATACGGACAAATTCATCGCAAAGAATTTTTTTTTCGAGTGATTGAAAATTAAATATGTTCATATTAGATTTTCTTTGAAGAAGACACTCATTTACGTGCTACGTGATATTGGAATGTGTAAAGTTTGAGAAGATCAGGAGTTACCAGGAATTTTAAGAATAATTACCACCAAACCAGACAACGATGAAGTTCCTCTTGATTCTGGTCTGGCTAAGCGGTGTTTGCATCGAACTCATCCCAGCCTCAACTCGGAAGGGTGAGTTTATAATATTTCCTTTTCTGTTTCTAAATTTCAGGTGTTATAACTTCATACGCACGAAAGAATTTTTCATCTGAAGAGGGTAACCCATAATAATATGTCAGCATATGCATATCAGACCTCAGCACCTCGTTATATTATTTTCATATTCATTTATTGTGCCCTATGCTACTGAAAAATCGATTGATTATTTTCTCATAGTCACTTAGTTTCAGATCCACTTACTGTGATCTCTATTATTTATTTAGTTATACGACAGTGGTAATTGTGTCAGCCAATGATCTCGCGTGAGTAACACAGAATTTCTCTCAGAGAATACTCGTACATAGACGCATTTAATTTGATCGTCGTAATTAAGAGCGTTTGCCCGTGTGGAGGCGGGTTAGAATACCTCAAACGTAGCCCTGCGAGCCGTGGAAGGCGACGGAAAGGTAACCCGCTGCCTTGGGATATAATTGGGCCACCCCGTCTTTGGGGACATACATAGAGAGAGCTGGTCCTCCAGGTTGGGGGTTGGACGCAAGGCCTTGCTTTTTATTGTTACGAAATCCAAGGAAGATCTCAAGTCTGACAGAATATTTTAAGGAAGATTATGACTCAAAAAAGGTTGTTTTGTCAATATTGATGAATTATTATGAATGATTATTTTCATAGATATAATTAATGTTTATTTCGAAGATGTGATATGCTTTCTTTGAAATATTTGGTGAAATTTATGTGCTATTTTGGTCGAATTTGGTATTTTGAGGGTAGAATAGAATATTCTTGTTCGCCATTAACTTGGATCGTTATATATTTGCAAACCTTGGGACTTGTACCTCTTTCTTTAAATGTCTCCATTACAGATATATAGACGTGTTTGTTCTCGATACTGAACATGCCTCTCTTCGTTAGTCTTGTCACAGATATGAAAGATAATCTTATAATAAGATTCTTAAATATTATAATATTTAATTTTAATACCGAGTTTCATCATGTGTGAACCAGGAAAAATCCAAAGTTGAAGATGCATTTCAGTAATAAAATGGTTTTAAAAATGGAAAGTTTAAGGCATTTCCTTCAGCGGTAACCGAATGTTGTTGCCACTCACCGGAAGAATGCCTTGAACAATTCGGGACATGTGGCAGAAATTGTAAAATTTCTAAATGTTATTTTAAACAGATTAATTATTTTTAGTCCAGCAAAGTCTTATAAATGAACGTCGGTCATATATGTTATTGCCGCTATTTCTTTTGAAGTCTTCATTTTTCTGGTGTCTCAAGAAGTTATTTTCACTTGCTTGCGTTGAATTTTCATTTTAGTAAAAACAGATGTTTAGAAAAGTTAGTGTACACGTAACTACCCGAGGCCTGAAAACAATATCTGAAGTTCGTGTTTAGCTTAATCACACATTGTTTTAACCCAACACGACGCAATAGAGAAACACATGGTATTAGGATTGCCTCGCCTCGAAATCCTTTTGTTAGTTTGGTCAACGAAAGCGAACCAATCCTACGTCGCTTCTGGACGCCTATCTTTGTCTTTGCGTCCCCCTTTGTGTTTTGTCTCAGAAATAACAGTTAACATTGCAATCAAATCTTCTCGGGCTACCAGGCATGACGGTTGTTTAAGAACTGCCGACGTTTCGGAGATCATCTCTGTCCCATCAAGGTGTGACGATTTAGGTATTCAAAGACAACTGTCAAGGACACGCTTAAATCTGTTCAAGGTTTATGGATATCTGTGCGTACATGATTTGCTTAAAGTACCTACGTGGATGGCATAATGGGGAGATTATGCCTGCTTTCCACTTATTGTGAAATGACGCCTGAAAGCCGGAATTGTTTATTGCTAGGTAACGGGCCGGTAAGCGCCCGAGAAAATGAACACTCACGCAACAATAGAATAACTGTCGTTTTAATGCAACGGCAGTGGAAAGACACCTCTGTAACAATAGAGGAATTGTTATGAAGCAGTGTTTTCTGTTGGGGCCGCCCCGAGGCTATGTAACGAGGATCTAAGACAAACTGAATGAAAATTGAACGAGTCTCTTGAGATGGCAAGAAGGAGTTAGCATTTAAAAGAAGACTTAATGTGTGCTGCTGTTACAGTGAGACTGGTGTAAAAATCCGTTGTCAGGATATGACTAATGAAAACTGAGAATCCTAGTGTGTGTGCACCGGTGAAATGTAAAGTGCGTAGGGCAGCAATAGTGTTATAATTACTTGTAGTTACGAATTGAGTGTATAAGTGCAGTAAATCCATTCATCCACTCCTAACCCCGTCTAAACGTCTCACACCCCCCTAAAACACGTGACAGTATGTTTGTGCTATAAACTGAACAACGCATTTATATGAAATTTGTTAAAATCGGCTGAACATTAAAATTTATGTGACTTCACGTTTCGTTCATATGTGTCTTATACAAATGTTACTTCATTTAGTCAGGATCTAAGTGAAACCCGTGACAAGTTCCATAAGCAGGGAGTCAGCTGTGGAAAGCATCATGACATGAAATTCAAGAAATATTGTTTTCTTGGTCACAAAAATAATTTGTGTGTGACCAAGAAACTTTATGGGGTACGCGGTAGCGTAGTTGGTTGAGGCCCTATGCTGTAAGCTGGAAGTTCTCGGGTTCGAGTCCCGATCAAGTAGGTTTCTTTTTTTTTTTTCAATTTACCTAATCCTTCCAGCCGCACTATGGCCCTGGGGTCGACTCAACCTCTAGCAGAAATGAGTACCAGGAATCGTTCTGGGGGGGGGGGCGTAAGGATGACAATCTTACCGCCATCTGTTAGCCGATTGTCTAGAAGATATGGGAGCCTCAGCCTCTCTCAACTCTATGGGCCTTCGCGGCCTGTTACAGGTATAACTTTACCTTATATTATAAGAGTACATAGCCAACATAAACATGAAAACATATTTTGTGAAACTGAAATGCTTTTTTCTTTTTAATGTACACGCTCCTAGTACCGTAATATCCCTACATAAAAACATCCTACCATGGTGATTCTGGTCTATCTGTTTAACAGAAAGGCTGACCATTCGTGCCACACTAACTTATTAATTTCAGGTCAGATGCAGTTTGAGTGCTGACGTAATATTAATTACAAAAATTGAAATCAAACAAGATTATATCAGCTGCCAGTCAGGCTTCATCCCTGTTACCCTGAGCGTTCTGTTAATATTCTTATTGTGAATCACAAAAACAAATTGAAAGAGGCTTTTTTTCTATGCATTGATTTCCACGCGTTGTTAGAATAGTTGCATAAACTGTATATCTCTACCAAGCTTTGTTCAGGCTCACTGCAACTACTTAATAAGTTGAATTGAACTATTGTACAAAGTGTCGAGGTCGAGAAAAGATGGATCTATACATCTACTCCCCTATACGACTTCATGGCTTAGTGCTTAGTTAAGTACAGGGTCAACTTTACCTTTTATACCTTTTTCAAATAAATAGTAAAAAGGCAAAGTCGTCCTTATGCTTAATTAATTAAGCATTACCACATGAAGGCGTGTAGGGGAGTGGATGTATAGATCCACTTTTTATTGCCCTCACCCTGCCATCGACGTCATGTAGTCTCGAAAGTGACAGCGTCTTTAAATAACCAACCAACTATATGTTCTCACGTGACTGAATACTTATATGCTAGGAAGGATGAAGAAGTAAGCTTCAGTATCTACCCACCGCTGCGGCCCGGGTTTGATCCCGGGTCTGGTCAAGTGGGATTTGTGGTGGACAAAGTGGCGCTGGGGTAGGTTTGCTCCGAGTACTTCGGTTTCCCCTGCCAATCTTCATTCCACCAACTGCTCCATAATCATCCTCTCCTATCATCTGGGGCTGGTACAATAGGCCAGAAGTGACCGCAGTACAAGGGACTTAGTCCCACCCCACTAGCAAAAATAAAAGCTTCAGTATCCTGTTTTAAGTCATTTTAACGGTATGTGCCTAGAAGGAGAATGCTGATTCAAATGCCTAGTTTTCAGCTCGACACTCGAACACGGGTCTTCCTTAACATCGATCACGCTTCTTACGCCATTTGCCTCCTATCAGTCTAGCAGAAACGAAAGGTGATTAAAGGTGGGCTTGTTTGTCCCGTCTTCCGTCACAAATTATTAGGCTCGGTGTACCTAGAAACAGCCATCTCCGAATTTGTAATTAAGATGCATTAATTGCGGCTGAATAATTGAAGACGCTAAGTGCAGAGTCACATGACTTCAAGCAGTAATCAAGGTAGCTCTCAGAATTTTGTAGTGCTTTAGCACCTGTAACTTGTTTACACTGCTTCGAAATTAGTTTCTTATGTCGGATGTTTTCCTTTGTAGCGCTCTTAAACACTCCGCAAAGTGTGTTACAGCAACGTGTTACAGTAATAACTTTCAGTAAACAGACTCCATCAACACGTCTTAGATGACGGATACAAAAAACCTTTTCGTACGACAGCTGTTCTTCGGGCTGACTCGCGTTATGTAAAGGCGTAACATCCAGATAACTGCCTCAAACTCGCTTACATATACCATACCGGGTCAAATGCAGTCAATATATATTGATAACTCTATAGACCGCTTCTGTGGACTAGTGGTCAGAGTTCCTGGCTACATATCCAGAGGTCCCGGTTCGATTCTAGGCTCTACCAGATTTTCTGAGAAGTAGTGGGTCTGGAACGGGGTCCACTCAACCTCGTGAGGATAATAGAGGGGCTATTTTAAGGAAATAGCGGCTCCGGTCTAAAAAACCGAGATTAACTGCCGTGGGGATACGTTTCGCTGACCACGTGACACCTATCCACAAAATTGGGCATTAACTTGGCCGACAAGAGGCGGTAGCTCGGTCGGTATAGTTCTGTTGCGGACTGCAGGCCACGGAGTTTATATCCCTAACAAATGGTTAACATTTCTGACACTATAGGTAAGGTTTCTGAATCTTTTCCCTGAGGCCCGCTATCATCACTTTTCTTAGTTCTCCTCAGTATTTCACCCAGATAATTTGTTATATCTTGAAGAAGGTCGATACC